GTCGTTCTGTTTTTGAGCAAGTTCTGGCAAGTCAAACACCTGCAAGTTAAACCATTGACGTGTCGCCCCTGCAAACGAAGTCCTGCGAAGTCAAATGAAATCGGCCTGAAAAATATCGTCACAAAACAAATGAAAAGAAATTTTCACCTCGAATGATTCCGGAGAAGTCTCCGCACGCCGGAATCCGCTCTCGTTGGGTTGCCCGCATAAGATCTCCCCACGGTCGAAGCTGGGGAACGACTCAATCGACTTAACATCTATCCATAATGAGCGGCCAAATGCCCTCTGCTCCATTGAGAATAACTCTGACACTTCACAGATCTTCACAAATGCTGATCTCCACCCCCACTGGTGCCTTCCAAGCAACTGGCACACACCAGAAAGGGGTCGCGGCATCTGAAGCATTGACCTGGACAGCAGGCCCAAATCAGGGCATTCCTTCACCAGATCATTCACTTATTTGAAGTGGCACGAATGCAAATTCTGGGAGTGACTGGTGCATCTTAAGGTGCTTTTGTCTGTCACTAGTCACTCAGCTTCGATCATTGCCAAAGCAACTTCAAACACCGGAGCCAGCGATCAACTGACCAGTCTGACTGCGTGGTTGCATACTCTGTGAAGGCACAAAGGGGTGCAAAGGTGTCTTGTGTTTTCTTGCGGGTTTAAGACGGTGACACACACACACATAAACCTCTATATAAAGACTGATGAAAGATGGAAATAGCATAGGCATAGTCAGCACAAGACTTTATCTTCGATCAAATGTCAACGTGTTGATAGTGGGTGTGAGCAACTCCGGGCCTTTGTTGCCACTAGAGACACTTGCAAAGACATGTCAATTACTGTAACTTCATGCTGGTCTTGTCAAGCGCATGAATATGGTGCAATCGCCCCGATTGCATCGAGATTGTAAAGGCCCTCTGAGGTGAAGCGGTGTCTACAAGCTGAGCGGTCAGCCTTCCAAATAGGAAACATCATCAAAGTGAATGAATTAGCCAAACGCGCCGGTGCAACACCTCGATTACACCGGCCATAAGAACCCTAGAACCCTTAGAACCCCATCGCTGTGTCCACACTGTTTGGGGAATATATAAACATGTATACATGTATATTCAAGTCTTTACCCCATTGGTGGCCGTGAGGGTGGCCGTGACAACGTTAGTGGCAAGATCGGCGGCCTCTGGCGGTTCCCTCAGGCTGTTCGACACCCTCTCGGAACACCCCATCGGTGGTGGTTCTATGTCATACTGCACGACCAACATACCATGCGCACCACTGCGAACCAGCATGTCATTTGATGCGGCACAAACCGGTTTAACCGCTATAAGAAGCAAACCATCTAAAGACTGAAAGCGCCACCCGGTAGACCTTGGTTGACCGATCCAGCAGAAATCGACCAACACATCGCCCGCTTCAAACATGGTCCAACACGACGAGGGGTGAGGTGAACCGGGCATCTGCTTCAGGTGTTGAGACACCGCGGGCTTCAGGTATTGGAACGTCCCTTGCTGAACCCGACATGAACGTTTTGCTTTGGATAGCCACGTGGCCCGCCATAGTGTGTGCTGGTTCCAATCCAAGCCACCGGTTCGGAAGCAAAGGGATTTGCGGCATCTGAAGCACTCAAGGTTACCTGAAAACAGGACCCATAATGCATGAGCAGGTTCACGAAGAAACAAAGGCTGTCAATCGCGCAACTTGTGATTTGCCTGCCTAGAACATCATTCTAGTTTCTTATGGAAACATCATCGCATCTACTTCCTAATCGTCCATGAATCAAAGGCCAGGTGCTCAAATCAAAACAAGCAATTGCCCTTTGGTTACAGCAAGCGCATCCATTTGAAGACTGGATTGGCATTTAGGGCGAATCCAGCCAGTTTTTGAAGCATTGCCACGGTTCAAGTTGAACCATCAGTCATCGTATGCAATTGTGTGTGGAGTGGATGAATCGACTTCATTGTCACTTCATTTCAAGTAACTCGACGAATCTGTCCGCGACTGGTCGGACTTGTACTCTGGACGAATCGATGGAAGAAAGAATGCAAATAATGCGAAACGTGGGTCAAAACCGGGACAGCCTGGTTGACAGACTATCTGGGAGCATGGTTTGGGGCTCCGGGTTTTCACCCACAGGGAAACAAAGCACACACACACACATTTGTCATCCAAGCAACTGGCGCGGACGCAAATGGATTTGCATCATCCGAAGCTACCAGTTGCACCTGAGTGAACCGAGCAAGATAGTCAGAAGTCAGAAAACTTGCAGAAAAAGGCCAACGCCAATAATACATATTGGAATTAAGGATTTTCCTTTCCTGGCTTCTTGTGGGGAAATCCACCTTTCTTCAGCTGCACCTGAAACGCAGCTACTCCAACCGTCTACTGTAAGCGAAACACCCATGGTGTGCGTGTCACTCCCAAATACGCACAAAAGCAGTCAGGCAAAGAATCATTGAAGGTAGAGTTTGGCAACAGTTGGTGACTGACTGACAAGTACTTCTGAAGAGCTGTCTTATTGCTACAGTGCATCGCAGCAGCACTGTGAAATCTGGAACACCACGGCTGGGGAGGAAAAGAACAATGAACAAAAAATAGCAATTAATCCACATACATCTGCTAGTAAACAAAGTATACAAATTCAGAATCTGTGCAAGCCGGGACTGCACATGCTGGGATTGCATGCATTCTCTTTTGGATGCTGTCTGCGTGAATATCGTCTTGATCCTTCTTTTACCCCTTACTTTATGTACACGTGACAAATGAGTCACGGTCAAAATCATTTACATGGCCTCTGCTCGCCTAGCGATTGAGTGAGTCCCCTATCATTTTACTGTGTTTGCACGTTGCTCCTAGAAATGCCACTGCAAAAGAGCTCTTGGACAAGTCTTCGGGCCGAAAAAACTGGGGGGTATGGGACACCCCAAGGCATCCGCAATGCGAGGTTATCACTCTGATATCGTTCCGGTGATCGGTCTAGGCACGCTCCCACATGGCCAATTCAAGAAGGTAATGTAGACTCTTGATTAATACCCCCCCCATATGAAGTGGAAAATCCTCTTCATATGGGGGGGTTATTAATCAAGTCTACATTATACGGTATATGTATCAAAGTTGTTAAGTCACAAACATAGGTGACTTTTTGTCAGTCCCCTATCGTTCTGGAGGGCATACAGAGCACTCCCACAAAATCAATGGGACATCCAAAAGGACGAGCTACCTTTATGTGACTCTATATGAGGCACGCTCAAACCTATTGTAAAGCGCTACTAACTAAAAACGGCATTTGGTCTGCACGAGATGTTCAGTCAACGTCGACACATACAATCCAAGCAACTGGTGCGGATGCGAAGGGATTTGCATCACTTGCAGCAGCTTTCACATTCACCTGGAAAAAGGCAGCAATCACTGTCTTCACTTGCCACGCCCGAAACCAGGTGTTCCGAAATGTTCCAAAAACAAGTAGAGATGGAACTGCGGGGAACAAATCAGGGACAAATGGTTGTGTGGGATCTCTTTCCCTTTCTAGCAACTTCCGGACTTGGAACCCCTTAATTTGACTTGATTGGTGCAACTTCAGATATCCAAAGCTTTCGACAAAATGTGGCCATGGGGTACTTGTCAAGCGTCCTCAGGTCAGCCACTATGTCGAAAAAGAAATGACATGCAACGTTTTGCTGGACATTGTGTGGACATCTTCTTGGTCCGTCTCTTGCTAGATGAGGTCATGTAAAAAACCCTCTTCCTTTCCCGATACCACTTTTGAAGTTATCGTTGTTTCTTCCTTATCATTTTACGGCGCTTTGACAAACTGCAATACTTGTGGTATAGTGTAGTATACAGTATACATTTGTTTGCACTGCATGCATGTGGTATGTGGAACCTTGCCAACATGAAGACATTAGGCACAGTTCATTCCAGCTACACCCATGTGGTGGCCTGCCTACGGAAAGGTGGAGGTGTTATAGTTTTTGTTATCGTTTTCATGCCTGGTGCAAGGTTGGAAAACCATGAGCAGTCCAAGCTCTCCCAACCCCAACCTCTGTCCAAGCTCATACCCACCAAGAGCAGTCATGCCCTGACCCACTGACCCTGACAATTTGGAACAGTAGATTTGTGTTTGCATGTGCGCGCGTTTTCTTCACACAACTTCACGCATGTCAAGGGTTTTACACAAGAGTGATCGGGGTTGCTTATTTCTCGTTTTACGGGAGATTGAGCAGGCTTCCAGAAAAATGAAAATCATGGTTTTGTTTTTTAATACTCTCTCTCTCTCTCAAGTCTAGGTGATTTGCCTCTGAAGCGATTGACACCCCATGTTATATGCACGCTTGTCACAACTCGAACAACAATCTTGCCGCATACTTGGACTTGGTGTTTCTATCTACACCGTGACTTTATCGTCAGAAGCTTTCACATTCACCTGGACAAAGAATAGTCACAATGGAAAAGCAGTCAATCATATCAATCATGCAACTTGCCATATGGGTCTCTCTTCCATGTTGAAGTTGCTTTTACACCAAAGGGCATGGTTCTTCAACACCAAACAACATCCCCTTGCAAAAAAAAGGCAACTTCCGGCCTCACCCCACATGTCCACATTAGCCTTGCAAGGGAGCCACAAAAAAATCTAACGATCTCTGAATAATTTGAAAAAAACAAAACTGTCAAAATTCAACAACTACCCAATCACACCATAACAAAAGCAAAGGTCATGTTTTACCATTTGCGGGCGAACAGGACCATCCGCAACAGGACCACTGAACAGTCGGTGCTGTATTGATTCGACACTCCTTGCACCGAACAGACACGCTGCGAGCTGATGAGCGTGCGCCACGGGTGGGGCTCTGGTGGTGTGCATGTGAGGCATGTCCATTCAACGGGGCCAAGCAGCAAACAAGCAAGGAACGGGCTCTGGCAAACCGGTTGAATGGCATTATATGTCTTTCGTCCTTTTGCCAGCGGGGTCAGTACGTTCCTAGGAAGTTGGGGCCCTGTATGGATGAAAAGGGCTCCCACCAAGCGACGTCCAAGCTTCAGCTTCAGTGTGACTTGCATTCTGCGCCCAACTGCAATTGGATGCTGCCAAGCCACTGGCGCCGATCCCAAGGGATTTGCAGCATCTGCGGCATTCGGTTCCTCAATTAGACATGAGCGCCTTTCAAACAAATATGTGATTCAAGTAACAAGTTGGATTTAGATTTGACCAAAACTAGATCGCACCCACAGCTAGGCTAACTGGAGTTACAGCTAACTAAAGCTGGAGCTGCTGGAGCTAAAGCTGAGTAGATAAAGTTGTCTAGAGCTGAAGAGCTGACAAGAGCTAGAGCTGTTAAAAATCCGTAATGTCTTAGCATGTCTTAGCTGCGCAAAGCTTCTCTAACAGCTTATCAAGGGAAACCCATATCGAGTTTCTACAATGTCGCAAGAAAGGTGATCGAAAAAAAAGCATCGCCTTCCATCTCCTACAGTAGGCCGCTCGATTGACTCAGGAGAGGCTTGAAGGAGTCCTAATGAAGCAGGGAGCCTCCAACCTGTATGTGTCAAGTACTTGAATCACTTGCTTCAACCATGGATGGTGGATGACAAGTACTTGTTAAGCTACTCAGGTCTTTCTGAAGCCAGTTTGTGGGACGTGGGCAATATTCCTGCACTGCGAGGGGTCTGGGGACGCACATAGAGAAAACAAGGGAAACCAAGAAACCTTCAGACTAAAACCTATTGGTTGGGGGATCTCCCTTGGTGGCTGAAGCTCTTCACTAAGATGAAATGAGCCCGTGAAAGGTCGTCGCAGGTGAACCAACCCCATCAAGAGCTCTGTCAAGTGCAAAGTCACAGCTGCATGTTCCGGAATTGCTCAGAGATTGCATATCATTTGGACTGTTGGACAGGCCAAGATCCAAATGAACACCAACAGTGATAGTTTGGCCGCAAGGAGCACATTGCAAAGTGCGGGGTCTTTCGGACAAGTAGAGGCTTCAAGAAACACAAGTGTATAGTATACACTATGCACCAATCCTGACAATGGTTTGCATGAGTGTGCCATGCATGGGTTGAGGCAGTTCGAGCTTGTCATCCAAGCAACTGGTGCAGAAGCAAATGGTCTTGTGTCATCGGATGCTTTCGCGTTCACCTCGACAAGAAAAGCACAGTCAAAAGTTTGAAGGTATGCGAGCAAAAAAGGTTGTTGTCAAACATTCAAATTGCCATTGACATTGCGCATCCACAACTGGTTGAAAGGGCATTTACCTTCCTACAGTCCCTTTGATGCTCGTTTGCACCTGTCAAAACTCCAAAAACAACTATATATATAATGATCAAACCTTTGAGCCATGATTGGATGGCAAGTACTCCAGAATTAGCACAGTAGCCCTTTACCATTATAGTTTACGTGTTCCTGGCTCCAACTAACAGTCTCAGGAATGCCCTCAACTCCCTGCAGATCTTGCTTTCACCCATGGCTCAATGAATAAGCAAATTATTTCTCATATCTCCAAGTAATGCAGCCATAGTACAGACGCAAAAAGCCCCGCGCCATTCTGCGGATCTGATGCATTTGCCTTGGCAACGTTTCACTAGGAACACCACATACAAAGAAGTAGTCTTCCTCTGGTTGCTTTGTCTACCTAAAAAGGCCCCGCACACCTCCTGTCGGCCAACTGCTCTCGGATTGAGATGTTCATCTCCACCTGCACTGGTGCCTTCCAAGCAACTGGCGTGCACCAAAAAGGGATTGCGGCGTCTGAAGCATCAACCTGGACAGCAAGCTCAAATCAGGACATTCCTTCACCACGTTTTCAATGGCAAATGGCACTCGTGCAAAATCTGGGAGTTACTTGCTGCATCCTACTTCAAGGGAGTGTTCTTCTCCTCACACTGACAAGCCTTTTTGTGACTAGTTGCCGTGAAGTGGTGGGGGGGGGGCACCCTTCAAAAGCGAGTCATCCTATGTCATTCTCCCACTAGTCACGCAGCTTCAATTCCCTGCTCCAGAGGAATCAGCGATCCCATCCGGGTTCAGGGGCATGTACTGTCTCGCACGTGCCGCACATGTCTGGTTCTCATCCAAGTAACTGGCCCGGACGCAAATGGATTTGCATCGTCCGAAGCTACCAGTTGCACCTGAGTGAACCGAGCAAGATGGTCAGAAGTCAGAAAACTTACAGAAGAAGGCCGGCCAACGCCAATGAAACATATTCGAGTTAAGGGTTTTCCTTTCCTGGCTTCTTGTGGGGACATTCACCATTCTTCAGCTGCACCTGAAACCCAGCTACTCAAAC